AACGTACATTGAGATACCATTTCTCACCAATTGGATTGCCAAAATTCAAACTCTTGACAATATACTCTGCTGGCAAAACTGTGGAGAGAGAGAGAGACTTTCAAATATTGTGGAGTGCAAAGGTACTACACCTGTGGAGGAAAGCTTAGCGATATTTCTTTAATCTCATGTACATTTACTCTGCTGCACAATACTACCCAGCTGGTTAAATAGTCTTATTTATGTGTCTTAGTTATCTCTCACTGCATAGCAAATTACTTCAAAATTTAGTAGCTTAAAGTAACAGACATTTATTGTTTCTGGGAGTCACCACTCCAGGAGTAGCCCAGAAGGATAGTTTTGGCACGGGGTCTATCATGCGGGCACGGTGAAGTTGCTGGTCAGCGCGGCAGTCATCTGATGGCTGGTCTGGTCGAGCAAATCTGCTTCCAAAGTAGCTCACAACAGCCACTCGCATGGTGGTTGGCTGGAGGCTTGGTTCCTCCTGATATGGATTCCCCTGTTAGAGTTAGCTAAGAGCAAGTAACTGAAGCTGGCAAGCCTTTTATGATCTACGGTTCCAAATTTCCACATTGTCACTTCTTCCATATGCTATTTGAGAGAAAGAAATTACAGCCCAGTCCACACTCAGGGGGAGAGAAATTAAGTCCCATTTATTTTGCAGGGTGGAATACAGAGAATTTGTTTAGATTTTTAAAATTATTTTTATAATTTTTATTTTCTATTTATTATTTATTTTTCATTTGTTTTATTTTGTATTATTTATAATTATATTTATTAATTTTTATTTATTGTTTTATTTTTATTTTTAAAGCATCACTATATTTTTGTTGAACATGTTGTTACTTTTTAAAAAAAGATTTTATTTATTTATTTGACAGAGAGAGATCACAAGTAGGCAGAGAGGCAGGCAGGGGGCCAGGGAGCAGGCTCCCTGCTCTGCAGAGAGCCCCATGTGGGGCTGGATCCCAGGACCCTGGGGTCATGACCTGAGCTGAAGACAGATGCTTAACCCACTGAGCCACCAGGTGCCCCAAACATGTTGTTTCTGTTGAGTGTATGGTTCGGGATAGCAATGCAGAGGGAGTGAAGTGGTCTGATGTAGGGTCTGTTTTGAGGGGAGACCCAGCAGGATTTGATGCTCTAGTTCAGTTTTATGTCCTTCCTTATGATTACCAAGGACGGACACAGAAAACTAATACAACATTCCAGGATGGATATCTCTTGTCTGATTAAAAAACTGCTTTTTGATTATGGGGGTGCCTGCAGGCTGGTTCGGTGGGTACAGCATGCGACTCTTGGTCTGGGGCACGTGAGTTTTTGCCCCAGGTTGGGTGTAGAGACGACTTAACAAGAAAAAAATGAAAGAAACGTGACGTAAGGTCCCCGTGGGCCTTTTGGGGGAAGAAGCCCCCCCAAGCAAGTCAGCCCCCCCAAAGCCACCACCCAGAGATCATGGGTGTCTACACTTGGGGGTGTTGCACAGGCTTTCTGGCGTCTAGACAGGGCCGTGGGTTCTTTTGCCGTTCTGCCTTCTGGTTGTTCGTCTAGGACACGACCCGGTTTTCCGCGGCCACTGCTTGAGTTCCAGGGCCCACCCCGTCGCTCCTCGTCCCGCTGGCAGGCTTGCCCTCGCACGGGGACCACCGGGCCATCTTTCTGAAAATCGCATCTGATGTGCTCATCCCAGGGGCAACCCCCTCGAAGGCCACTTCGGGTTGTCCACCTGTACCGGCGATGGGGGCGGGGCGCGACCCAGGATCCGTCGTGGGCTCTGTCCCACCTCCCTTCCACGAATGGCTGCAAGGACGTCGAGCCACACGTCCTGGGGACCCGAACCCCGGCAAGAGGCAGGGCGGGCAACAGGCCACGAGTCCGGTGGCTTCACACGAGGTCTTGGGCAGGGGTGGGGGTGCGGTGGGGGTCGAGCTGAGGCACGACGGGACTGCGGAGGTGCGACGGGGTCACGTGTCACCCCACGGGGCAGCGTTTCGTGAGGGAGTGCTCGCTGGCCACACAGCCGGGAAGGCGGTCCCGGAAGCCGCGGGCCGCAGGCCCGGCTTGGCGGGAACCCAGCGCGATGCCGGCAGCCGCCCGAGGGAAGCGTCGTGTATGCGCAGGCGTGCCTGGATCCCACGGAGCCCTGAGGGGCGGGGCTTCACGAGAGAGCGCTCATTGGCCAGGCAGCCGTGGGGCGGGGCCTCCGGGAGCTCACGGGGCAGCTGACAGGGACTGTGGGAGGCCAGCCAAGGGCCCAGCAGGCTCGTGGGGCCGGGGCGGGTCGGTGGGGTGGGGTGGGCGATGGGGGCTGTTGGCGGAGGCGCTCCGGGCAGCCCGAGTCGCGTCGCGTACAAAGGCGCTGAGCTTTGCGAGGAAGCGCTGGCTGGCTCGGCAGCCATGGGGCCTCCCAGGGCCCAGGGGTGCAAGGGCCCACTGGGCGGGCGGCGACCACAGGCCTGGCGGCCTCCCTAGGAGCCCGTTGGCACAGGCGCCCTGGGGACGCGTCGGGCTCTGAGACGCAAGGCTTGTGGAGAGAGCCGGGCTTTCCTGGCGGGCCCCCGCCGGGTCTGTTTGGCGGGAAGCGGCCACGCGCCCGGCACCCTTTTCCCCACACCGCTCCGCCCCTCCCCGCCCCTCCCCGAGCCAGTTTGCGCGTGCGCGGCGTGGGGGCGGGGTCCGCGCGAGAGCGGAGCTTTGGGAAGAAGCCATAGTTCGTTCCTCAGCTGCCACTCGGAGGGGCGGGGCGGCGGGAGCGGCGCCCGGAGGGCGGGGCGCGGCGGCCATGCAGGCGGCAGACGCAGGCGCGGGCAGCGGGGCGGGCGCTGCGGACGAAGGCTCGGACGGCCAGGACCGTCGCCGTGGCCCGGGCGGTCCCGGCTTTCCCGGCGGCGCGGGCGAGGCAGCTGCTGCCGCCGCCGGCAGGGCTCGGCCCGTCTCGCGCGTGCGGCACGTCCCGGAGCCGGGTGGAGACGCCGCTGCCACGACTGGAAGGCGGGAGAGCCGAAGACACATATTGTATCCTGCCCGAGCGGACGGCGCGGCCTGGGCCCCTGAGGGATCGAAGGGTCGGGGCGGCCTGCGGGCGGACAGGGAGAGGGGCGGTGTTCACCAGGGGCTGGGGACGGCTAGGGCGGTCCGGCCAGGGCTGGTGGGACAGTGGTCACCCGGGGAGTGGCTGGGGGGGGTCCCGCCCAGGGCTGGTGGGACAGTGGTCACTGAGGGAGGCTGGGGGTTCCGGCCTGGGGCTGGTGGGACGGTAGTCACCTGGGGAGCGGCTGGGGGGGTCCGGCCCAGGGCCGGTGGGGCCCGGCCCAGGGCTGGTGGGGCCGTGGTCACTGAGGGAGGCTGGGGGTTCTGGCCTGGGGCTGGTGGGACAGTGGTCACCTGGGGAGCGGCTGGGGGTGTCCTGCCCGGGGCTGGTGGGACAGTGGTCACTGAGGGAGGCTGGGGGTTCTGGCCTGGGGCTGGTGGGACGGTAGTCACCTGGGGAGCGGCTGGGGGGGTACAGCCCAGGGCTGGTGGGACAGTGGTCACAGGGGTTGTTGGGGAGGCTGGAGGGGTCCAGCCCGGGGTTGGTGGGCCAGTGGTCACCGAGGGGGCAGGGGAAGCTGGGGGGGTCTGGCCCGCGGCTGGGTTGGAGGGGTACAGAGGGGAGGCAGGGGGTGCTGGGGGAGTGGGGGGGGCGGCAGAGAGATGCCAGCAGGGTGCCAATGGCCTGGCTTCAGAGGGATGGGTCGGGGGAGGAAGGAGGGAGAGCAGGGCGATGACCCGTTTTGCCGGGGGCGGGGGTGGGGGGCTATGGGCCTGGCTTGGCGTCTGGGGCCGGGTTGGCTGGGTGTGATTAGGTCGGGGAAGGGGGTGGGAGCTGTCTTGAAGGGGACTGGGCTCGTCAAGGGGGCCTGAGAAGGGCGGGGGGCAGGCGCAAAATCGTTTGGATGGTGCCTTAAGCCGGTCTCCTCCAGTGCCCTCTGCGTGCCTTTTCCATCCCGCGTGGAGGCGGAGATTGCCTGTGGGTCCCTGGCCCCAGATGCCGAGCCCCACAGAAAGGCTGTCGAGAAGCAGCTGACAGTGAGCGGCAGCGTCCTGGCCGTGTAAGTTCTGGAAGGGGGCCCGGTGGGAGCTGCAGCAGGTAGCAGGCCCGGTCTCCACAGAAGGGGCGCTCAGCTGGACACACCGAGACCCTCCGTGAACGGTTACTTCCAGGGACAGGGGTGGGGGAGGCTGTCTCGGCCTGCACCTGCAGCCTGGCCTGGGGTATAGGGAGGTGCCTTCATGGGGATGTCGGGGTTGGTGGGCTGGATTTGGGGCGGGGGGGCGGCAGAGCAAGGAAGGGGAGGAGCTTCAACCCCCAACTCGGTTGTCTTTTCTGCTCCCTTTCAGCCACTGGAGGGCTGAGGATCCTCGCCTCCTGCGAATTTCCGTCCTCAACTTCCTGGACCACCTTTCCCTGGTGATGCGGACCATGCGGCGCTTTGGGCCCCCCGTTTCCCGCTAAGCTTGGGCCGGGGAGAGGGGCTGAAGTCTAACGCGTCCCTCCCCGGGGACTGCGTCCTTCCCGGGACAGTGACTCCTGTCGTACCAGCTGCCACTGTGTTAGGAGGGCCTAATCCTCGGCCGCTACCGGCCCCAGGGCACTCAGGGCCCGTTTGTTTTGTTTTGTTTGCCGCTTGAACGTTTCTCAGTGCAGACAATTAAACGGAGCTGTGCGGTTGGTTCCCTGTCTGGGCTTATTTTCCACCATGGCACCGCCTCCAGAGGGTCTTCCCTTTGTCCTCGGGGAAGCGGAGGGGAGGTTCTGGGATGTAGATAGGGAGGCATGAGAGCTGACTGAAGACAAACGATGGAGGAAATGGGAGAACACGGCTTCTGTCGTCCTCTGTCCTTCTCTGTCCTTCACTGTCCTTTGCTGTCAACGGCTCTCCGCTCGGTGGAATGTGTCCTTGGTTTTTTCCTTGTGTTTATATGCTAAACAGAGAATAATGAAGAAGGGTAAAATTTTGCGCGTTTCACATGTCTCCGGATGTTTTCCCCATCGAATGTGAACTTTTCCTCTATGAAAACTCGGAGTGCATTCTCGAATGGATGCATGAAAGATGCGTTCTAATGTAATTACTGAACTTTTAAATTCTCTTCAGCTTTGCCGATGAGAGATGGTGAGTCAGTGGAACTCGGGTGTAAAATCTTTGTATGAATCATGCTTCCTTAAGATACGTTAATAGAGGCAATTAGAGGTCGTCTGAGAACTCTTGGCACGAGCAGCCCAGCAGGAGCCAGTCATAGGGAAGGGTTTGCACAGCCATGCCAGAAACCCTTGCACTCTAAGTAGGATTTCTGTACGAACCTCCGTTTCCAAACAATCCAAGAAGGGGGTAATCTGTTGCCCTTGGGCTCTTAGGGGAAAAGTACAGCAGCACGCAGGACCCAGATGGCTGTGCAGACGTCAGCTGGTGGGGAAGATGTGGTAGGTGACGCGCAAGGTCAGGGTACCCCTCTGATCCCTACAGGTGCGAATTCCAGGGGGGTCCTACTGGAATTGGTAGCATGGACTATACAGACTCCTGATGGGCCTCACAGTGATGCTCTGCAGGTCGTTCCAGAAGCTGAGCTGGTGGCCAGATGGCAAAGAGGCAGATTTCTGGGATGGTTTCGTCCCACAAAATACAGGAGCTGGGTCTGCCAGGAAGCTGCATTCCTGGTGGGGTGGCCTGGAAGAGGTGAAGGGACAGGGGCCAGGAGCAGCTCAAGATGCTGTTCCCAAGTGAGTTGGTGAGTGTGGAAGGGAGGGGAACGGGAACAGGGAGAACAGGACAGCAGAAGGAGATAGCCTGGAGGGACATGCCAGGAGTGGCCTCTTGCGTGGGGGAGGGGATGGTCCTGAAGGCAGACAGCAGAGGGAGACAGGTCAGAGTGGCCTGAGGGGACGTGGTGGGGGGGGATTGACAGCTCATCAAAAGTAGTTGTTGGCAGAATGAGGAGGCCTGGAGGCCTGTGACAGGGGCCAAGTCAATAGTATCTGGTTCCTGAGCCACAGTTTCTCTAGCAGCCTCACTGCAACTGGGAGAGGGGATCACCTGCGGGCTTCTGGCCTCAGGTATTGAACCCCACCACAGGGGGATCAGAAAATGCCAGCAACTACGGGCAGTGACTGGTTGTGGAGGTTCGACGAACGGCTGGAGTGGGGGATGGCAGCAAAAGGCTAGACCTTTGTCTGGGTATCACTGCACCAGCGACCCTGAGGATTAGCTCTTGGGGGTGGGATGGGGCGCCTGGGGACAACCGCGCCCTCCATGAGGGAGACACAGGAGGGTTAGGGCTAGTGGCCTCCTCGCAAAGGAGAAACACGGGCCCAGCTGGGACTTGACTTGCTTTCCCTTCCCTCCTAGCATACTGACGACTGAAGGAGCACGTCTCTGCAAATGTCCATGCCTTGCTAGAGCAGCTTTCCCTGGTTCTGGGGGCCATGCCGTTGGGGGGCCACTTTCTCACTGGGTCTCAGCAGGGCAAAGGCACCTGAGTCCTAACCTGGTGCGTGTGCCTGGAGACGCTGATGATGCCAGGCTTCCGTGGAGAACCGTGGGCTGGCCTCCGCCCATCCTAGACCTCTGGCGTGCAGGACCCGCTTGTTTCCCCATTGCTAGAGGAGGAGAGCACTTACACAATTTTCCTGCAGAAGATAAAACAGCCACAATGCCAAGTTTCTGTTCTGCTACCACACTCTCAGATGGTATCAGCCTTGTCCTATGGATGCAAGGAAGGGCCAGGGATTCAGACATTCATTTCTTTTTGAAGATTTTATTCATTTATTTGACACAGAGAGAACACGAACAGGGGGAGCGGCAGGCAGAGGGAGAGGGAGAAGCAGACTCCCCACTGAGCAAAGAGCCTGATGACAGTCTCCATCCCAGGACCCTGGGATCATGACCCGAGCTGAAGGCACATGCTTCACCGACTGAGCCACCCAGGCGCTCCGGGACTCAGATATTCAGATGGTACAAGGTAACTGAAACAACTTAGGAAATGGGGAAAATGAAAATCAATTATACTCTATTATTTGCAATTAACTACTGTCAACATTTTGTAATATCACATCAGTTTTATACTTGTGCTTACATATTAAAGGGGCAACATAAAATGTATTTTGTGAGTTTAGAATTAAATTTTTCCACAGGTTTTAAACTTATTTAACAGATGAGCTCTATTTGTGGGGGGTGGCGGGTGCGGGGAGCTCCTTCTGGCAAACCTGTCATCTTAGAGTTCTTGTGTCTGATTGAGCCTATCATGCAGGGGACATTGAGGGCACACCAGACCCTGGGCCTTGGGGGTCCTACCAGTTTAGCTGACGTTCAGCCTCCAGGGATCCCGCCATCCCCTGCGGAGGAGACAGGCCTGTGGCGGCTGCATCTGCATCCCCGCTGCTCCCGCCGCCTTCTGTCCCTCAGAAGAGCTTTAGTCCGATGACCTCCAGCACCCGTCTGTGCTTCTAAAGCGTCATTACCCAAACGTACAGGACACGGGTGTGGGTGGTGGGGACTGTGTAATCATCCAGACGTGTGGATCCCTCAGCTCCTTTCCCCTGAGATTGATTGATTGATTGATTGAATGATTGCTAGAGCATGGGGGGAGGGGTAGAGGGGAACCCCAAGCAGACTCCACACCAAACACGGAGCCCAACGCAGCGCTCCATCCCGCGACCTCACCATCACGACCCAAGCTGAAATCAAGAGTTGGGCGCCCAACCCACTGAGTCCCCCAGACGCCCCTGTTCCTCAGCTCCCTTAGCCAGTGCCCTATGCTAGACCTTTCCACCGCTTGTCACCCGTCAGGACTATAAACTGGGCTGCAACGAACACCATGGCCTGTTGGCTTTTGTGCAGGAGATTTGTAGAAGGGGACTGGGGTCAAAGAGTAAGCCCTCTTTCCCGTGCTTGACAGACAGGACCAGACTGCACCCCCGGCAGCTTGTGCCCGTCGTGCGTGAAAATGTCCATTTCCCTACGTCCCACCTCAGACAGGGTGTGCTCGGTCGTGTACACCTTGGTAAGACCAAACCCATGCGGTAACCTAAATCCCATCTCGGTGCTGCTCCACTTTCCCTGAGATGCTGGTGTAAGCAGGTGACACCGTGTGTGACGTTTGGCCCGCGCCAGCTCTGCTGAGAACCGTCCGCTCATATCCTCTGCCTGGTTTCTGTTCGGGACAGTCACGTTTCTCCCCCGGTTGGTCAGTGTTCTGTCTGTGTTCAGAATGCCAAAGCTTTATCACACTTGGAACGTGCTTTTCCTCCTCACGGCTTACTTAAAAAAAAAAAAGTATATATATATATATATGGGCACCTGGGTGGCTCAGTGGGTTAGGCCTCTGCTTTTGGCTCAGGACATGATCTCAGGGTCCTGGGATCGAGTCCCACATCGGGCTCTCTGCTCAGTGGGGAGCCTGCTTCCCCCCTCTCTCTCTGCCTGCCTCTCTGCCTGCTTGTGATCTCTCTGTCAAAAAAAATAAATAAAATCTTTAATATATATATATACATATATACGTATATATACACAGATACAGATAAAGCTATAGATATATACCCACACACTTCGGTCACCAGAGACAGATCGCAGCTCTGACTGAGTGAGCAGGCTCACTGGAGGGCCCTGGAGGAGCTCCCGTGTCGGGCGGGACAGGGCGGGAGCCAGAGCCCCTCTGAGGAGTCTCGTTGGCGTGGCTCAGACCAGCTCTGTCCACGGACCGGCTCTCAGTGACTCAGCTCCAGCCACTTTCCATCTCTCTGTGTCTCTCTTCCTCCTCCCGGTTCCCTGAGAGAGCGAGCAAGCCTGTGATTGGCATAGGCTGGGTCACCGTCCCGAGGGGACAGGGATGACGGAGAGGGGGTTGGAGGTTAGTGGGTCATGGCGGTCCGCCACCTGCACGCTGAGGTCTCCGCACGAGGCGGGAGCGGGGCGTGGCGGGGACAGTGGGCTGCAGCAGAGTCCTCGTAAATGCCTGGGGACAGAATGGTTCCCTTGAGAGACAGCGATGGGCAAGGGGGCTGGACAGCGGGGGCCTCAGATGGCCAAGTGTTCTTTGTAAAGGGGGTGAGAATACAGGGCAGGAGAACAGCCCCGGGGGAAGCACACCGCCTCCTGCTTACCCTGAGGTGTATGGGCTTGAGAAGGAAGGAAAGCCTCCTGGGGAGGGGCAGTGAGAACACAGTGTCCTTCAGGACAGAGCCAAGCCTCCTTAGGGCCGAGGGTAGACAATCACTTTGAGTAGAGACTGAGCACAAGTATGAGTTCCGGAGAGATGAGGGGCGTGTGGGTGAGGTGGCGTGCTCAGGGAAAGTGCATCCAGACTCTGCTGTTTGAGATTAGGCTTCTAGTCCAGTCCCACCAAGGGTGCTCAGTGTCACGAAGGGGTGTCAGATTTGTGTCAGAGCACTGACTGTTCTTACATTTCTATACGGAGTGTTATCCTTTCAACAAACTTAGAGACATGTAGATTTCTACAGTATTCAAGATTTTTGCCTCATTATTTTGCCTATGTGCTGTTGTTTCCAAGTTTGGGTTTCAGTTAATGTTGACCTGAGGCTGTTGGGATTTGAAAATGAACTTGTCAGATGTTATTCTGCTCTTGTGACCTTGTAATACTGGGACAGGATGTCGGGGGAATCTGGAGAATTGATTCAGAAAAGTTCAATCTGAGGAACTGATAAGGTTTGTAAAAGCATCTGCACCTGGGCTTTATTTTTATGTGGCGATCCCTGCGATCTTTTACAACTTCTTTCATGAGTCAGTATTTTATTTTTAAGATTTTATTTACTTATTCATTTATTTATTTATTAGAGAAGGAGAGAGAGAGAGAACACAAGCAGGAGGAAAAGGAAAATCACGCTCCCCGCTGAGCAGGGAGCCCGATGCAGGAGTAGATCCCAGGACCCTGGGATCACCACCTGAGCCAAAGGCAGACACATAACCGACTGAGCCACCCAGGCACCCATGAGTCAATATTTTAAAATCAGATTTTACTAAGTTTTCCTATTTCATGTGCATCCGATCTAGGGGTATGGATTTGTCTGTACAGTGGAGTCCCATCACATGGACATATCACCTTTGTGGATTTCATTACATAAACTTGAGAAAAGACAGAGATATGGGGACAAGCCTTCCCAGATATACCCTCTGTCTGACAAGTCTTCAAGTATGAGCTCCCAATGACACCCAGGCCTCAAACATCATAGAAGCCTCTTGAAACACTTGTTAACATCCAGGGAGCACAGTTTAGAAAATTTATATGTTTCTTGTTAAAAAAAAAAACAACAACACTCAAGTTAAATATCTCACATCCTAGAGATAACTGCTGTTAGTTAATTAACATTTTGGGGAATATTCTTCTAGGCCTGTTCTACAGACACACATATGAATAGATATGTCTGTGTCTCAGTACACGCACGCACACACTCATAGGTACACAACTGCGTCTTGATGGCCACCATGCAGAACCCTGCAGAGATGAAGAAAGAGCAAACTGGGATCCAATCAGTGTCAATTCCACTGCTCTCGCTGTCTCTCCCTGTGTTCCTGCCCTTACTTTTTTTTTAAACATTTATTTATTTGAGAGAGAGAGAGCAAGTGCATAAGCAGGAGGGGCAGAGGGAGAAAGATTCTCAAGCAGACTCCGCGCTGATCATGGACCCCCCGACATGGGGCTTAATCTCATGACCCTGAGATCATGACCTTAGCCCAAATCAAGAGTTGGAAGCTTAACCACCTTAGCCACCTGGGTGCCCATTTGATCTCTTTGTCTTCTTCTCCGTGTGGTTCTTTGCTCCGGGGGAAGCATGAAGTTACAGAGCGAGCTTCACCAGCCCCCAGCAACACTCAGGGACTGTACAGCTCTCAGCCTCTCTTGCCCTCACCAGCCCAGGTTGGAAATCCTTTCAAAAGCATCACAAACTTTTATTTTAGCTCATGATGGAGGTCGCTAGGCGCGCTTTCCCAGACTGCCTCTGCTCTTGTTGACAGACGTATTTCTGACACATATTTAGAGAGACCAGAAGCCATGGGGAGAGGCAACCTAACTGCTGCCTCCGAATTGCTCCTTCTGGGACTGTCAGAGGGCCCTGGACATCAGCCCCTGCTCTTCAGTCTGCTCCTGGCCCTGGCCCTGGTCACCAAGGTGAGGAATGTGCTCACTATCTTGGCCACCAGTCCTAGCACACCCCGACCTCCACAGCCCCAAAGTACACTTCAGAGTCAAGCCGTCCTGCATCAATGTCTGCTTCACTCCTGCACTATACCAAAAATGCTGGTCCAAGTCAGTCATCAGAAAAAAGACAATCTTAAATATGTCATTCGTAGAACACAAAAAATACATGAACCAAGCATTTAACTTGAGAAAGTAGGAAAACAGCAGCAGCAACACAAACACAAAACAAAGAAGGGGAAAAAAACTAATAACAAGGAAAGCAGTAAACATTCAAAACCCATGTAGAATAGGTCAACGGAACCAGGACCTGGTTCTTTGAAAAGACCAACAGTATAGATATTAAAAAAAGAAAAAAGGAAAACACAAATAGATCACATTATGAATGGTAAGAATATCTAGCAACAGATTTAAATACATGGAGGAGGGCTGCCTTGCTGGCTCTGTCGTTTGGGTGTTTGACTCTGGATTTCGGTGCAGGTCATGATCTCGGGGTCGTGGGCTCAAACCCCTTGTCGGGCTCCGTGCTCAGTGTGGAGTCTGCTTGAGATGCTCCCTCTCCCTCTGCTCCTCCCTGCTGTGTGAGCACTCTCTCTCTCAAATAAATCTTTTAAAAAAGTAAGGTAATTTAAACAGAGGGGTATTGACAGGCAAATCAACATACAGATTACAATTCACGAAACCGAATAGAGCGTTCACAAATATAGCTCATGTACAAGAACAATCAACAGGCAAATAAATGTTATGTAATACATGGAGCTGAGGAAAAAGGCAAAAATAATGTTAGCTCTTCACTGCGAAATAATTCGTAGATGGGCAAGAAGTGTCAAATATAAACATGAAACTATTCTTAAAATATTATATTGATGGGACGCCTGGGTGGCTCAGTGAGTTAAAGCCTCTGCCTTCGGCTCAGGTCACAATCTCAGGGTCCTGGGATCGAGCCCCACATCAGGCTCTCTGCTCAGAGGGGAACCTGCTTCCTCCTCCCTCTCTCTCTCTCTGCCTACTTGTGATCTCTGTCTGTCAATAAATAAATAAAATATTTTTAAAAAATATTGATAATATATGCTCAAGATGAAGTGAAACTTCTTAATCAAAAAGACAATGGAAAAGATCACACATGAAAACTGATAGATTTAGTGACATACGAATAAAAAGACAATTGAAGAAACATTTGTCA